AATGTGTGACTTGACTTTACCTAACATCGCGCCTAAATGTCAAAGTTTGTACCAAAATCAATATGTTTATTGATGAATATTGAGTTTCCTTATTAACAGTTTTTCTACGTAGGTACATGGCTGTTTCTGCAAACTGTTCAACGTGTTATAGTAAAACACTCTGATCCAAGAGAAAATAAATCGAGTAATTTTTCATAATATGTGCCTTTTTAGAATGATATTCATTTCAGAACTAGCTTTGTTGGCTATTCGCTTTTCAGTAACGTGATGATTGAAATGTGTTTGAAAATGCTGTCTTATCTATCATTCTCCCAACGATATCGAGGACCAACCCATAACTTTTTTCAAATACAAAGTGCTACCACCTTTGTTGATGAGCACCGTAACCGATCAATCGATTTCTTCCTATTAGTTTACTATTTTATTGTGGTTGAAGTTGAAGTGTTAATTACAAAGTCTATGCTCTGGTCATTTCAAAAAATTTTTAACACCTGATTGACCAGGGTTCTTTAACTTCAAGCACTTTCCGTAACGGTTCGAGGCGATTTCGGCTTACTTGAGGATTTCTAAAACATCAAACGCTTCATCTAATTTAAATAATTTAACACAATAGCTATAAAAATTACCCCATCAGGTCTAATTTAAGATAAAGAAGCTCCTGATTATTACTTTCATTGCACCTTTAAACTTTAATAACTCAAACCTAAAATTCCGATTCTATTTAATTTAAGTTTCGGGATGCCAACGTATGAAATGTAATTCGATTGCGAGTTCAACTGTACGAATTAACCCCATTTCGAGCACTTATAGCCACAGAGCATTATTGCCCCTTTTTATAGGTTGCGATTCCTTAGTCGAGGGCTGCGGCTAATCAATTAAACAGCGCGGTTTTTGTACTTCTCTTTTAGTAGCTGTAATTAAGCATTAATTTGTGCTTGATATTCAGCGTTCCGCCTCCAGCTTTTAGAAAGAAATTTAGCATGCAACTACCATCCTGCCTTTGTTAAAGAATTTTTTTTTCTTCTCCGGGGTGTAATGAACCTATTGTGCTAATGATGTTTTTAAGAGCTTTACTTTGAAATGGAAGTTTTTAGGTCGTGACAACCTTTCGAATTTACTTAATAGTTCACAGAGTTTAGGCGTAGGCCAACTGTAACGAAAATAACACCTTTTTATTACAGTAAAAGTTTTATTATGACAATAAAAAAACCACGATTAGTATTTAGTATTACTCTATAGTAATATAGTAGTATAGTAATTCACACATACTCGTAGGTAATTCCAATTCTTTAACTTTGGGAATTTTTTGTGATAGGTACCTACATTTTAGAAAATGCTCGCAAGAATTCAGTGTGTGAGAGTCCTTTCATAAGATAAGGTGCATATTAGAGAGTCCGTCACAAAGGATTTTGATAGCTAAAATTTTCCCTTGGCGGCCGTAGAATGCAAGCAAGCTATCTAGCAAATTTGCAGTTTTTGTTAGAAAGGTTTTGAACTCGTCCAGCATTCTCGTAATGTTTTAGAATTTAGTTTGCTTGACATTATGCATAGGATGATGGAACGTTGCCTTAAGTTCCGAAATTGATAACCATAGGAAAATATACCTAATTATAAGAATTCTATTCAACGTGCATTTTTAATTACGTAATATTGTCTAACTAAAAAGAACAGTAGAAGCCGACTCCAGAATTGATCAGTAATGTATGGCGTGAAATTAAATATCGTCTAGACGGTTTACGTGCTCATGTGGAAATTTATTGAAGTTGTCATGTGTTGTAAAGAAAAACTATTTGATATTGTCTTTTCAATAAATCCGCATTCATGTAAGTACACCGATTTGTTAGTTTTCTATTCACCTACGAAATGTAGTCTTAAATAATTGGGCGTCTGAAGCTAGCGATCTTAAAGCGGGGACGTGTTTTTTTCGTTTTTTTGATTGGTTGTTTGTTCTGGTCGCCATTTTGGGGCTAAATTACTATACTTTGCTACAGGAGTTTGCATTTTTTGCGTATTTGCGAAAATCGGTGAATAAAGGCGCTTAAGCTTAAATTTTATATTATGGACCTTCGTTCTATATATAAAGATATAGTTCGAAAGATTTGGTCATGCTCAATTGTACACTACTTGAGTTGGTTTAAATTTTAACATTATTGCTGAAGCACAACGAATATTGATTTTATACAGGGTAATTCAAAATAGAGCACAAAGATTTTAAGAGCGTATTTACCAGCCAAAAGTAAGAAATTTTGTTCATATAAACGTATGTCCTAACTTGCTTCGTTTTCTAGATACAGGGTGTAAAAATTTTGTAAAAAGCCGGTTTTTATTTATTTTATTACCACCAAAGGAAAGCCCTTATGACGACCAATAAACTGCTCAAACTTTATTTAAATCGCCTGACAGGTTTTTGAATAATTGATAAAAAACCAATTTTTTTAAAAAACTTCTACACCCTGTAAACGAAGCAAGTTAGGACAAACGATTATATGAAAAAAAATTCTTATTTTTGGCTGGTAAATACACGCTTAAAATCTTTGCACTCAATTTTGAATCACCCTGTATAATGAAAATCGCAATTTTTAACTTTATTGCGTACATTGTTCCTAGGCTTCCTTGTTTAAGAGATTTAATTTGACCCCTGGCTTTCTTTAATTCGGCAATAAAAAATGGGAACCTAAAGAAATTTAAATCGTAGAATTATTTAAGAGACCTAATGACAGCTTTAACGGTATGAAAATTTGCTGAATGTTAGTACTCAAAGAAAATTTTAAGAACTCTATTGTCAGGTAATTAAAAAACAATCTTTAAAGTTCGGCAAAATTCCGGTATCACTTCCGGTCTAACCGGAAATTGATGCAATTCTCTATTTTTTCTTAGAGCAAACAAACATCGCGCATTCTGACAGCACACGGCACGCTAAATTTCATAAGTTTTCTAGACATTGAAACACGAATTTCTCCATATTATATATCAGCAATATGCATATTTTATGTTGTCGTACAGTAAATTGATTGCTCTTTTGAAATATCTTAAAAAGACATGCATTAAATTTGAAAAACAAAAGTTGCTTCAAATTTCGGTTAAACCGAAAGTGATACCGGAAATTTTAATATGCCATCGGATAGATCGTAATGCCACAAATTATTACTGACAAATTTTTCGCATCTCGCCAAATAAAAGAAATATAGAGGTGACACTCTTATTTCGAACAGACTGTATATGGCACATTTCTAAATTATCCACATTTTGTCTTACTCTAGTGTACCTTTTTTAATCACGGTTTAAATAAATTCCTGAATACGTCTACGTGAAAACTGTTAACACTTCAATTTCCTTTATAAGATTGAGCGTATAACAATTTTCTTTCACTGGTAGGAAATTGTGCAGTTAGTGGACTAGAAAATTGCTAACTTAAGCTTAAAATTACACGTATCAATTTTTTCCTGAATTTTAAGGACATACCTACCAAGTTCTCAAGATCTTTCCGTCGCAGTATCGTTACGACTTGAAACTTGGTCTCCGTTTATGTATTTTTAGTACAATCTAAACTTTTAAGGAGTTATTCTTAACTTTTGTAATTATTTTTGGAAGACGTTAAATCTGAAAATTATAAATTTGGAAAAGTATAAATTTAAGGGACAGAAATCCAGGATTTTAATGTAATGAAATATGACTGCCTATACAAAAGTTCGCATGACCATTATTAAAGATTGATTTTTACTATAATAAAGTTTCAGAACTCAAATAAATATAAACCTCTGGATTGCTCCCCTGTTTAAATAAATCGGTGATACGCTTACCCTTTTTGTACATTATTCCGCGCTTAGCTATCAAATTGAATTTCTGCTCCTTTCTATTGCTCAATTTGTTTAATGTCAAGTCGAGGTCGATAATGTAATTTCATTCCATAACCCTGTTAATATTTGGAGTAGTTTAACTTCCCTTCACGTCCAGATTTGTTCAACCAACTTAAATGGATTTCTATTCTCGTATGCTCGAAATTGGAATGGACTGGCTGTCGATTTTTGTTTGCTCACTTACTTTTTCAATTTTACCCTTTATGCTCGAAGTTTAACATTGGATGAACCCATTGTGTTTAAATCAAAGGTTTCTCGCGCGTGCGAATTCAAATGTCGTGGTAGCGGTGTTGGTCAAGTCGTTCTCGTCATCTATCATGAATGCTAAAATGTTCCACTATCCTTGTCTAACGATACTGGTTATAAGTAAACGGAAAACCTTTTAAAAGAAAGTTTGTGATTTACTTTCCCTTTCGTTTGTGTTTTCGACAGTCACCTTGAGAATGGCAGTATTGGCATAGGCGTGAACAGCAGCAACTTTGGCAATCTGGCGATTTACTAGCAAAGGTGCACCAAATCAAATTCGTCGAGGAAGAATTGATGATTATGTAAACTCCAAATCATTTCTGAATGGCATCAGGATAGCAAAAAATTTATGACCAAAACAAATCCTACATCTTGAATAAAACACTTTATTGAGTATATAGAATATACGGTCAAGGGGGTTGACCTCGTAAAACAACGGTAAAAGTTTTACGATGTCGTACCAATATCTAAAAGTTATATATTTGATCGTACTCACAAAAAAAAGGTATTTTGAGAGAGTGAGCAGCGCGTGGACAGCGTACACACCTAAACTCCTTAATTCAAATGGAGTGCGTCGAAGTAACTTCTGGGCCACATTTTACAAAAATCAAATTTGTTAGAAGACGTTAAGATAAACTGCAAACCGGACTTTAAAGGAATGGCTTTAATATATTTTCGTGCAGATTTGCGGAAACTTCCTTTTTATTATGATGACCAATGGCGTTACTCATTTCCGAACGCTGCAAGAAAGGAAAATGGGAAGTTTACAACAATTTGATAATAATAATGATTTAGGTAAAAGACCGTTCAATAATTATTAATCTCTTGTAATTCGGTCAGCGGATCGACTTTTGAAGTAGTTTTTTATCGAAACTAATACTGTGATTTTTCTTACAGGTATGTCCCCTCCTTTATCTTTGAAAATGGTCACGTTACTAAGGTAAGTCTTTATTATGGTTTGTGTTTAGAAAGAAGCTCGATACTGCAAAAGTCAAACTTTTACTTTAATTTTCAGTCTCCGGCTAGTTAGGTACGTGGTAAACAAAATACGACACTTAGCTGTCTAACAAGTCCTTCGCCAAATCCAAGGACACCTCTCTCCTTACCTTCTGAAAAAAACGAATGACGTAAATGAATTTCGCTTAATACTTTGTTGCAATTAATTCCGATTATTTAAAAAACCACATGTTTCGATTGACATTAATGTCACATCCCGTAACAACTTAAATAGCAATTATAATTTTGCCATCTTAGCTTCTACGAGAAAGATCGCAAATCGTGTCAATTCCGAAAGCTAACGAAGACAAAGCAAACCAGTATTTATACTACGAGCAAAAATCATACTTGACCAAAAGTCCTACACTTAAAATCAAGCTAACCGTCACACTAGCTCTATAATAAATAATAATAATAAGCCATTTATTTGTACATAAAAAACAACAAAATATTTTTCACTTTAAACTTAAAAATTATTACACTACAAATAAATGTATAAAATCTACGGAGTTTCATTCACACAAACATGGGTACATTGGACATTAAAAAGAAAAGAGAAAAAAACCACTGAATTCATACCTGCAGCAGATATCTAAGTTTAAAAACTTGTTAATATCTTTTGTCAGGTGCAAGGTGAATAACTTGATCATAGAATTTAAAAAAAAAAGAAAAATAAAATTTAAAAAAAAACTAAGAAATGAAATAAAAATAAGCTAAAAATAAAAATAAATAAAAGGACTAATAGTTAAATTAAATTTGAACTAAAAGAATGTTTCGAACCTCTTGTATACTCATTGAAGCACAAATTTTTTTTACATTTTTCAAAAATGATTTATTCGATAGAATAAAAAACGAGGAGATATTGTACTTTAGTTGAAAATGGTTACCTATAGACCTTGATTACATGAAAAGTGAAGTTTTTTGTGCAATTTGTTTGTTAACTGTTATATTGTAAGATAAACTTAAAGTTTTGAATCTTGTAGTGTAGTTGTGAGTAGGAACATTAAGCAGTGTAGACTTGCTTTTGTAGATGTATTTTAATAAGGTGAGTATGTAAAGATGATAAATAGAATACAACTTAGTTTCTTTAAAGAGTTGTTCTGATGATAGCATTAACGGTTTTCGAAATAATATTTTTAAAATTAGTTTTTGGACAATAAACAAACGACTCATGTAAACATCTGGTGTTGACCTCCATGTTAATATCCCATACGATATTATAGATTGACATACGCCGTAATAAATAATTTTCTTGGAAGCGACACTCATTACACTGTTTATAGATTTAAAAAGATATATTAGTTTCCTTAATTTGTTGGTTAGGTATTGAATTTGAGTATCCCACCTTAGGCGGCTGTCTAACATGACCCCCAAATACTTCACAGTATTACATTTATTAATTTTTATGTCACAATTACATTGTCTCATTGTGCAATCCTTTACGTGTATGAGCAAACTGTCTACATTATCTACAGTGTAAGAGGACTTTTGGTAGTTTAACGTTAAGATGTTGTTATCTAGCCAGTGTTTAATTATGCTCATATGACCTGAGGTTGTATCTATTTTTTGAATCTGCCGAGACAAAGAGTACTGTATCGTCTGCATACGAGAACAACTTAGCATTTTGCAGTGATAAATTCAATAGGTCGTTTATATATATTATAAAAAGTAAAGGTCCCAGAATAGATCCTTGAGGAACTCCAAACCTTACAGTCTTTTCAGCACTCATCGTCCCATCAATTCTTACAGCTTGTGTTCTATTGTAAAGATACGATTTAATAAGTGAAAGACTAACGCCATATTTAAATAATTTATCACATAATATGTCATGAATCACTGTATCAAAAGCTTTAGCAAGATCTAAGAATACTGCTAGACAATACTCAGAGTTATCAAGAGGCGTTATAATTTTTTTAACAAGGTCAGTCAGCGCATCTTCAGACGATTTATTTTTCATAAATCCATATTGTGATCCTGAAAGAATATCAAATCTTTGGAAGAAAGACAGTAATTGTTTGTGAATAATTTTTTCAAATATTTTTGACAAACAACTGGTTAGTGCAATTGGTCTGTAATTACTTACCTTGGTCTTATCACCACTTTTATGTAAAGGTATTATAATTCCATTTTTTAAAACAGTAGGAAAATATCCCTCAATAAGACAACGATTGTATAGTGTGGATAATGGTAGGGTGACGGAATGTGCGATGTACTCTAAGAAATATTGTCATAACCACCTGATACTTATAGAGTTTTCTACGTCTTTATCAATGATTGGACACCATGAAAAAGTTTTTGTAACAAAAGAGATGGTATCTTTGTAAGTTCCCGAGGTACTGACACGAGAAGCTAACGTTTCGGGAACGGATACGAAGTAGTCATTAAAAAATTCCACTATTTCACTCATATCCTTCACTACGTATCCATTCTCGTCAACTATTCGTTTTATAGGGACTTTTGATTTTTCTATATTAGCTGCCTTTTTGGTCGCTTCCCATAGTTCAGATATATTTTGAGTATGTGCAATATTATTTGGAATCATCTGTTGCCCATCTTTCTTCTTTTTAATTCTTTTGTGTTTAATAATAGTAGTAGAAGCAATAATTTTTTTGCAGACGTTTATAAAATGATTAAACGATTCTTCAATGAGCAATAATTTTAGAATATCTCAATTAAATTGCTGGAGGAGTGTGTTCAGTTTACAGTAGTCAGTTATTTTAATACTTTTTAGCATTTTATCGTGTTGACATCTTTCTTTGACTAATTGAAATTGTAGCTTTAGTGCTATTGGACAATGATCAGTAATTTGATCTGTAATAATAAAAGATGTAGCAATCACATTTTTATTTGCACATTTGAGAAAAATGTGGTCTATGCATGATTGTGAATCACCAGATATTCTTGTAGGCTTGTTGATATATGGAACAAATGAAAATTCACTCAACAAATTTAAATACGATTCTGTTACATGAATTCCACAGCTTAATAAATCTATATTTATATCTCCGATTAGAATTTCAACACAGTTTTCGATATGATTTTGAAAATATAATTTAAGAGAAGTTAAGAAGCAGTTGATATCATAAGATGGTGGGCGATAGATGCTTGTTATGATTATTATATGATTGTGCAGTTTTAGTTCTTGTATAACAAAACCCATTAATCACAATGTTATTAGAGGATTGTATAATTGTTGATTTAATATATATTATTACACCGTCATTTTGGTTTAGCTTACTCGCGTTGTAATAAAGATCATAGCCATTCAGTTCAAAGTATTTTGTACTTACTCAATTCCACGTCTCGCTTAGTACAATCACTTGCATGGAGTTTAGAAGTGGTTTGATACTTGCTAAATAATCAAAATTTTTTGCAATGGATCTAATATTTGTGTGAAATATACTAAACAATTCACATTTCTCATTTTTCACGGAGCTCGAAAATGATTGCAAATTAATATACTTATCATCGATACCAGGCAATTCATTTGCTATTTCTAGCATTTAACAAAATGGAAAAAGAAAAAAAAAACAGAAGACAAACAATAAAGAAACAAAAAAAAAACAAAATCAAAAATAAATGATAGTGATGAAAATAGAAAATTTAAACTATACGTAATGCGTTAACAATAAACAAGTGATTGCATCGTTCTCCCATAGTTATATTTAAAAAAAACACACACAAAAAATAATCCTGCTGCATAAATAGTAAAGTAGCAGTAATAAAATAAAAACAAATAGAACAAAAAGATTCAGTTCTATAATCATATACCTAATTATCACATAAATTTTTTTACAGTCTCTGGTCCATAAGAAAGCATATTTTAGTTCTTCTTTTTTAATTTTTGCTAACGAAAAAAGTTGTCGATTTACACTAGTTAGCGATTCATTCACAAAAATTTTGGAAGAAATGGAATAGCCTAGCATGTTAGTATTTAAATTGCGTAGAGCTAGACATTTCGTTAGAAAATGATTTTTGTCTAATCTTCTGCTGAATTTTATTATAATCGGACGATGTTGACTAATTTTATTGGGGTTCGCTTTTAATCGATGGGCTATATCAATTAAATCTGGTTGCCAGTTTTCGAACTGAATTGTGGCTGCAAGTGTGTTTATAATAAGAATCACATTTTCATCCTTTAGCTCAGGAATCCCGAAAACGATCAGATTATTAATATGAGAGTATTGATTTAAGTGATTAAGTAAGTAGTCTTTTGCATTCACCTCTTTTTTCAACACCATGACTTCTTGGCGTAACTGATCCACCTCTCGGGAAGAAACGTTTAGTTTTTCCTCAAGAACTTTGAATTGGCCACCGAGATCATCAACTTTTTGATTACATTCATTTAAGGATTTTTGTAAACGCGACTGTTCTAATTTAAGAGTGTTTAATAGTTCGGTAGTTTGTTGAGAATTTGCGATTAAAATGTAATATAATTTAAATACCCCTTACCTTGCGAAAAATCTGAAAAAAGACTTGACGCTCTGATTTGACTGCAGACGAATAAATACGATTTCCACAAGTAATTAAATATATTGACAAACTAAATTTCTGATTTAAAATATTGATTTGTTTTCTATAATTAGAGAAAATACAACTCTTATCTCGTGACCACGTCTCAGTTCTAATTTTCCACTTACTTAACTTCAACCAATAATAAATTTAGGGCAATTTTATACATGAAGTGTTTATACGCACCTTATAGCTAAATAAATTTTGAATTCATTCAAAGAATATTATTACTTAATTGAAATGCAAGTTTCCAAGTAATAAAAAATAACCAAAGGCGCCCTCCAAGAAAAATTGACAACTGGATCGCTTTTGGGCTGATACAACTGAACTTTTTTGTGATTCGCTCTCGTATAATTGTTTCTCGTTGTATGGAAATTTTCAGAATAATGAATATTGTATTCATCTCAACCGTATGCAAAACTTGCATCAAAC